GATGCTTGCCGGCGTATTTTCAGTTGATTCTACTGATTTCTGTGGTGTTATACTGAATTCATCCCTGTTTATTTCAAGATCAGATTTTTTAGTCATTATATCTTCTTCTTTCTTTTCAATGTGATTCTCTGTATAGGAAATTGTTACAGCTTGTTTTTCCAGACTTGCCTGCTGTACTTCTGGTCTTTGTCTTACATCCTCATGTTTTGTTTTTCCTTTTAAATTCGTTATTTCATTTTCTGTACTTGGAACCGTCATTTCTTCTGATACTGGTTGTTTTGCTCCTGCATTTACAGATAGTAATTTTCCTTCACTGTCTCTTACATTGCCTTCTGTTTGCTCTGTTTCATCTTTTGCAGTTACCCATGTCAATGTAGGCATTTTAAATTTTGGCAGTCTGAATTTACTTTCTTTTCCGTCCATATCTTTTTCTCCTGTTTTCACGCTGAAGTCCATTTTCGAAGTTTTATCACTTGTTGGCATTCTGCCTTCTATCTGTGCCTTTGGCACAGTATCTGCTGGTTCTGTTGTGCTTTCTTCTTTTGGTATTTTCATGTCAGTTTTAGGTGTTTTTTTCATTTTTAATGATGGCATTTGTATTTTCCAAGAAGAAAGTTCTGATTCTGCATCAGGCATATTAGTTTTCATACCCAAATTCCTCCTGTCCTCTGAACTCATATCAGCTGTTCTTTCTGGTACTGAATGTGGAAAATCACTTCCCAGCTTGGTCTTTTTAGTCTCTGCTTCTTTTATTTTGGTCACTGAAATTCCAAATTTTGGTTGCTGAATTGTCAGTATTTGTGTGTCTTCTGCTTGTTTTTCACTTGTTTCCAGTGTGTCAGTTGTGTGTAATTCTGCTCTAGCAGCTATTTCTACACCTTTTACCTGTATAGATTCTTGTGGTCTGTGTCCCATCATGTCTATGTTAATTCCACTTTCTTCTTCTGTTTTATCTGTTGTTCCTTTCTGTTTCTTTTTTCGGGATTTTGAGGAGGCTGGCAGTACTTGTTTAGTTGGCCTTTCTTTCAGATCAGGTGTTTCTAAACTGGGCTTTGATATCTGTGTTGTTATAGCTGATACTTCAGGTACAGTAAATTTTGATGTTGAATCCTTGTCCTTTTTAATGCTTATTTCAACTTCAGGGCACTTTTTTGCATGAGATGGAATGCCATTTTGCATATCGTCTAAGACTTTTGTTAAAGTTTCATGTACCTCTCCTGTTTCAGTTTTGTAAGCAGGCAATGTGGTATATTCAACAGTTACAATTTCAGGATTTTCCAGGCTGATATCTTCTTTATGTATTTTCTCTCTTTCATTTAACAGTGTGGTTTTTATTTCTTTTTTTGGCCTGTCCTGAGGTTCTGGTTTGGATCTGTGCATTTTGAATCCAATGCTTGGGAACTTCAGTTTCTTTTGGCTTCCTTTTTTTTCTCTGATGTGGACTTCTTGTTGAAATTGAGACTCTGTGTCTGTGCTTGTAGGGGAAATATCCTGTATAGCAGACTCATATGCATCTGATGTACTATGAGATCTTCTGTGCCCCAGTATCTTTTTATTTTTGATTGACTGGAATTTTGGCCATGACAACCTATCTTTTTTAGGTCTCTTGCTTCTTCCTACCCTTTGGCTTACAATTAATGTTTCCCTGTCTTCTTCTGAAATGTCTTTTCCTGAAACATGCAGTGTTTCTTCAGGAATGCTGTCACTGAGTTCTTTTTGCTGAAAGAACAATTAGTAATCAGAAGATTAAAACTAAACTAAACATAGATTCGACATGAAATAAAATATATATACAATACATAGATGTACTTTTTATTCACAGTATCTGCTTGTTACATAAAAAAAATGTGAAATATATATATAAAATACATGAAAATGTTGTATATAATTCAGGCAGAAATTACATTTTAAAAATGGGTTATATGCCTGTAATATATGGATTTCTGAAGGTAACGTTCTTTGCAAAACATTGCAGTAAATAGAGGTTTCTACATGTATCTTTATGTATGCCTGTACAAATATATATATATAACATTTATATGTATATGAAGAGAAAAATAATTCTGAGTGTGATGGAGACCTACGAGCAGATCATGTCTATACAGATATCAGTGGCTAAACACACTTTTAAGAAAAAAATTCATTTATGAGCTTTTGAGAAAAATATTTACTGTTATTTTACATTTTGAACAATACTGAATATAAATATCTGAGCCTGTTCTATCAGTGAACATTTAAGAACAACAAAAAATGGTTCCTCACTAGAGAATGTTTTTCTACCCTAGCACAAGACTGTGACTTTATCCAAAACCTATAGTTTTCCTAGAATATTAAAAAAGCTGCAAATATTATGTGGGATTTTGTTCTTCTCATGAACATACATGCTAGTGAGTTTAAGTACATACCTAAGTATTATTATTAAGCATTATATCTAAGTATAAGTGTGTATTTTCTGGTCTATTTCTACATTACTAAAGTGTTATCCAATTTTTTTAAACTAATCGATTATCTACCTGGCTTCTTCTTTCCTTTTTGTACTGGGCTGTAGAGTGAGTGTGTTCTAACTCTTCTTTCCCATCAATTTTTCTTTTGAGGCTGAATTGGACTCTGTATGGCTCGGAATATTGGAGAATCTTGAGTGCATCTTCATACTTGATATTATCGAAAAATATTGTAGCACTTAGAAGCTGATCACCTGCAAGTGGAATCAAACATCATTTTATGCAGTTTTTCAAATTCTGTTGAATTAATGCACACACAAAAAAAATCACATCCTATTTATTTAGAATATGAAATTATGTTCACATAAGGGAATCACAGAACCATTAAAGCTAGAGAGGACCTCTGGAGATCATCTAGTCCAGCTGCCCTGCGCAAGGAACAGTTAGCTACAGCCAGTTGCTTAGGTCTGTGTGCAGTCAGGTTTTGAATATTTTCCTAGGATGGTAACTTACAACCTTCCTAGAAATCTTGTTCCAGTGACTGAACACCCTGATAGTTTTTTATTACATTTTTTCAGTATATAGAGTTTAGAGTTTTGTTTTTGTTTAAATCATTATTTATTGTAGTCTTGTGGCATATTATTTTGTGAAAGAATCAAAGGTAGGTTCTTCATGAATGTGATTTGGGTTGTTGGGGTTTGGGTTTTTTTATTTTAGTTGTATATATATTAATTTCTATGTATCTTTTTCACTCTTTCAGTAAAAATTTGGTGTGTTTTTTTCATGGTATTAAAAAATCTTATTATTAAGAAACTGATCTTTGAAATTATTAATATGGAAAGGTTAAGCTCACACATAACATTAGTTGGTTTAGGATCTACTATTTCTATTACCCAAAGAGATGGCAGATCAGGTTGGTATCTATACGCACACACAGCTACATACCTGATTATTTTAAAATATATTAAAAAAAAACAAACAAAAACCAAACACAAAAAAAAAAAAAAAAAAAGAAAATCAGACTGTACCTTCTCTCAGGCTAAATATTTTTGAAGCAGGAGACTCTTTCAGTACTCTTTTAATAAATATTCCTTCATTTCCTCCACCTATCACACTAAAACCACTAGCACCAGCTTCCACTTCTGTTTTCAGGGTCACTTCCATTGTCTCCTAGACACAGAAAAAGATGTGAATTTATAATTTTTATTCATTTGTATCAGTGTTCTATGTTACTATAAAAAATGAATTTCCTAAGTATGTTTTTAGTACCTCAGTCAAGATTATCTAAAATATAGAATTTACTTGTTCATTGTGGGTTTGATTCTCTTCTACATTAGAACTAAACATATGTTAGGGTTATGCTAGATCAGGGCTATAGGGAAAATAAATTACAATTTTAAAATGTGATACATATAGAATCTTTTAGGGCTGAAAGACTGTATTTTCTGTGAAGATGTTAAACCTGAATTAGAGTCAATGGGGCAGAAAAGTCAAACTAAGAGCTAATTCTGTACTATACTCAAACTAGAGAAGCCCAAAGAATGCTAAAAAGGATTATGAAAACATCATAATAGGACAAGTGTTCATGTCTGTGCCACAACTAGGCAATTTGTGAAGTTCCTGGTCAAAACAAGTCTAAAGTGATTCTCTCCCCATTTGTCTTTCCCTCTGTCCACCCATCCAGATCTGTGTGTTGTAACAGGCCTTAATATTTTGCAAGCCACATGCCTAAAACCACAGAGTGCTTTTATACTAACCTCTGGATGACTCTGTTTTGATTTATCTGCAGAATACTTCTTTTCTTTTTTTTGAAGCTGAAAAACAATTAGCAATTATTTAGCATTCAGAAGTCATGCTGTTGTAAAGTAGAACAAAAGTCCAAAAATCAGTTAAAATTCCTGGTTTACACTAAAAACTCAGGCTGACTTTACTGGCAACAAAGCGAAACTGGCATCTACAAGTGCAACGTACAACATGAATTATTTAACTATATTATTCCCAGTAGTAAATCAGATGCTACGACCTCCATGCATCGTACCAAAATTTGCATGAATGAATGCCAGACACCAATTATATTCCTACATTTGGGAGCTTTTCTGTATGTTACTCATGTAGCATATTTCTCATGCTTTGATCTTTGTGAGCATAATTTTTTTTCATTTATTTGTCTTGCCTTTAAATATTCTTCTTCTATGGGATATTCATAAACTGGAGAGGATCCTTGTGGCCTTGGACGGATGTCTTCTACTGCCACTTCATTAACCTGTGCAAAAGAAGTGAGTGGAGGGAAGAAACATAAACTATTAAACAGTGACCAGTTTTTTTAGGAGAGGTTTCTATTTAGGCATAGTCTCCTTCTTTGTACAAATCTCTCATTAATAATGATGAATGTAGAATAACCAGTAACTCTTTTCTTAGGTTAAGAACGAATACATTTCTCATTTAAGGATGTTACCCAAGAACACAGAGAGACTCCTGGGAAACAAAAAACAATGGTGTGCTGATTTTGGTTTTCATTCTGTATTGTATGCATCTGTGGGATGAACAGACTGAAAATACTGACAGATCAACTAGTAAAAATTTTAAAAGGCAATAAAAATTCTCTCCTCTGCTTTATTTGTACACCTAACTTTTGCATCCTGTGGATTCAAACTCTATTGCCCTCTAAAACCATGCAAATGTCGGAAGAGTCCCGTCAGGAATTTCTGCTGACAAGCATTTGGTATATTTCTTTCTGGAGTCAAACGACAGGGAACCCAAACCAGCTAAAGCTTTAAAGAAAAGTTACTGTAGTCAACAGTAATGTAATTGCATATAATAGTTTGTCAAGTCTTGGTATTAAATGTATGCTGGTGAATCATGGCAAAGTACAGATCACTTTACATTGGAGCATCATTCTGGTTTTTGAGCTGGCAGAAGTATTCCAAGCAAAAGAAAAGCATTTTTGATGGGGAGAGAAATCACCAGCAAGACCCAGCTATAAACAAAATATTTATGATCCCGTTTTAACAAAGTAACTGCCAAATCCCACCACCCCCCCCACCCCCCAAACCACCCAACTGTATAAAACTCACAGAATCATCATCCTCTGCATCCGCATCACCATCTCCTAGAGGGTCAGCTGGTCTCAGCTGTCGTCCAGAACCTGAAAGCAGCATACTGGTTATTGATGTCTGCAGGAGCCACACAGAGCACAGAGGCGTCAGCCTGCAAGCTGAAGCTCTCTGGAGCAGCACATCCAGGGGATGTGCATGGGCTAGCTGTAGAAAGGCACACTTTCATTTAGATTCACAGAATCATAGAATGGGTTGGGTTGGAAGGGACCTTAAAGGCCATCTAGTTCTAACCCCTGCCACCTCTCACTAGACCAAGGTGCTTAAAGCCCTGTCCAACCTTGCCTTGAACACTTCCATGGATGGAGAATTCACAGCTTTCCTGGGCAACTTGTTCCAAGGTCTCAGATCTCATCAGGTTGATCTTTCCAAAGACACCAGAAATGGTCATATTCAGACATGTAAAGACTTTTGTGAAGGAGAAAATCCCCAGAAAATGTAGAACCAGAAGCTGGACAGATTTTTCGTTGGTTTTTTTGTTTGTTTTTTTTTCTTTTCTTTTTGTTACCAAGTGGGGGTTGAGGTGTGTATGGGGCAGAATTGGCAGGGTTTTGACAGGGTGTGGCTGTGGGGTGGTCTCTGGGGGAGGAGGTCACAGACCACACTGTGAACATGTTTAAGAAAGAGTGGTAAATGCTGAGAAGAAGCAGTAGAAGAAGAAGAGAAAGACAGGGAAGACCACAGCAGAGCAGGAGGAGAAAGAAGAGATGGCAGAGCAGGAAAAATGCTGAAGCAAAATATGATCCTGAGTAGGTGCTAGAGGAAGAAAAGCTGCCCAAGCAAAGGCAGAGAGGAGAAGGCTCGACTCTTGTGGTTCAGCAGATGCTAGAGGAACCTAACCGGGGGCAACTGAACTCGAAGCAAGGAGTGGAAAAAAAAAAGCAGCAATCATCTGCTGACCCTGATCTCCTTCACCAGCCCTCATGTCCCCAGAGAAACTGAGTGTAGTCCACAGTGAGATTCCTGGAAACCAGAAAGAGCAGAGATGTACATGGAGGTGAGCTGAGGTGTTTTTCCTTACACAGTTTTATTTTTGTCTGTTTTTTTTTTTTTTTTTTAGTTTCAGGGTCAGTAATTAGAAATTCATTAATTGCCGTTAAATTAAATTTATTTAAATTTCCCATCTTGAAACTCTTCATTGATTCTGACAGATGTCTTATGAGCTGGAGAGTAAACATCATGAAGATGTTATAGTCCATAAAGATTTTGCTTTCTTGGTTTTTAAAAGTATTAAGGGCAGAGAGAAATGAGGTTAAGGTGATGCGCTGTTGAGAGCATGATTCTCTTGAAATGTATTAAATTGGGCACAGAATAACGAAAGCAGCATGAATGCATCATCATTTTCACAGATTCAGGCTTAGCCAGTAGGGGACACTGTGGCAGAACTACACATTCCCTGATGCATAGGCTATTCTAATACAAGAGTAACTCCTTGTCCTGATAGCTGCGTCTCTTTACTGTCTCCATGCTTCAATTTTTTCAAGCCATCAGGCTGCCTAGCTCTCTCACACCCAGTTCTGCAACTGTCATTAATACATACAGTTTTGGCTGTCCTAAACAGATCATGTGGATTAAAAATATGATCAAACACTAGAGAAGACAGCCACAAGCAGAACTGCGCAACTCAGTCATTGTCTGCTTTAAATGAGGAATCCTTAGGCTGGAACACAACATTTCTGGATATGGTTATTATATGCTGTGTGTGCAGACAAGCTGGCACAACTTATGCATCTATGCAATCACTCTAATTTACACAAGTTGCCAAGCTCTTGTTAGAATGGCTGTGATTTTGCTAGTCTTTCTTCACACTTTTCCAATCTACGTTTATTTTTTTCCTTGACTTTTTTGAAGATAAGTTACTTAGTACAGGCAGGGTTTTCAATAAGTTATACCACATCATCAGTGATGGACCACTTTGTTAAAATGAACGGACATAGTATGCTTCCAGTCGGGATATCCCACATCAGTCTGTGGGACAACTTTCCAAACTTGACAGAATAGAAGGCATCTTCATTAGCTATACGTACATCATTTAATCAGTTCTCCTGATCGTATTTTAGCTCGAGAGAACTAGGATCATCTGAGAAAACATCAGGACTGCCAGATCATGCCTCTTCTAGCCTTCACAGAACTAGTCCTGATGCCTACAATAGATTATTCTAGAAAATGATCTTAATGCAGACCCCAATTCAGATTAGAGACCTGCATGAACCATATTGGCTTGTTCTGTTGTAGGGTTTTTGGTTTGGGTTTTTTGGTTGTTGGGGGGGGGGGGGGGATGTTCCAAAATCTTCAGCATTTAAAATATTTAGTATCTCAACAAAATTGGAAAATGACCATGACCTTGTTAAAAAATTTACATATGGATTTCTGAACCTGAATTTAGGCATTTTTGCTTGAAAATTCTAGAATCCACTTGTGAATCTGCTCACCACATGTGTTTTAGTAAGCATCATATGAGGAGAAAAGCTGCAGAACTGAGGCTTGGTTGTTTAATTTGCTTATTGCTAGTAAAGATTCAGGTGCCAGCAGAAAATTCTATAGCTGTTACTAATATTCCAAGAAATAGTAAAGACTTAGTCTTGTGGCATTACCGTATTTTTCACTTGGGAGAGTCCCACCCACAAGCCCTGCGATCCAGGAGAATGACTTAACAGAATTGTTACAGCATTTGCTCTTCTGTGCTTAGCACTTCAAAGATAACTACAGCAAAGATCCCTGGTGGCTGCCAATAATTTTGCTACTGGAAGAGACTGGAAGAGAAAAAGGAAAGAATTATCTGGGAGAATTATTGGGCTGGTTCACTGCTGTTTCTCTTGTTTTACTGTGGTGTAACTTCAGTGATATTTTAGTTGTCTGGAACTTCAGTAAGGCAAATATGAGGTGCTCCGTTCTCAGGACTTGGATGGTCCTGTGTAGCTTGTGCCATTGCTTTTTTACCATCCAGTGGGCCATACTCTTCGAGTCTATCCTACAGGTTCTAACAGAAGTGAAACTTAAAAGCAGATGTTTTAAACAAAAGAATGATTAGGTAACCAACCTAATTTCGAAATCTTCCTGTTGCTAAGACCCATAAAATCCAAGAGAATTAGATTACTTCCTGCAGCGATACCTGAACCATTGGGATGACATTTTAAAGCAACAAACAACACTACCAACTCTTGGTCAGTGTGAATGTAGAGAAATAGACCTGGTCATCTCATCTGGGTCTGGACGAGGACAGAAATTTCTTAATTTTCATCAGCTGTTGATCAAGCAAAGCCACGGGTGTATGAGGCATTATGGTGGCTTCACATGCCTGGCCAAACATTGGCAGGCAATTGCTCCATCTGTCCTTGATAGAGGGTCTGCAGATTCAGGTTTGCCAAAATGTCACCAGAAAAACCCCCTGCTGTTAAGAGGAGTATCTGCAATCTTAAAAGGTCTCTCTCACCATCATCATGATGGGTAGGAAGGGACAGAGTGCTGTGAAAGCCTTTAGTGAACTGTTACCTCTGGTAAATTATTATAGTAGAACTCTTTTTTACAAAATCAAGAAACAGTTTACTATCCCCAGGTCTAATAGAGATGTGACTGAGACTGCATGGAGGGACATCAGCTGTACAAATGACCTCTGTTCCCAGAGCTCCCCACCAAGGCTTTCCCATCCACCCTGATTTCCCCAAACTCTGTCTACTTTGCCCCTCTACCACAGTCGACTCATGTCATAAGAGACCTCTTGTGCCCCTGATTCCTACTGTAGACTAGGATTTGCTTCAGATTTTTTCCCAGT